CGCTCCAGGTCAAGTTTTGCTCAATAATCACTCCCAAAAACTTAAAAGTAGCCACCCTCTCCACACGTTCTCCACCAATAAACAGTGGCTGTATGTCCGTTTTGTTCCTCCTATAGTCCACTACCAATTCCTTGGTTTTGGTGGTGTTGAGGATCAAATTATTTTCCCTGCACCAAACACAAAGCCGTTCCACCTCGTCCCGATAAGCAGACTCATCATTCCCAGAGATGAGCCCTACCACAGTGGTGTCATCAGCAAACTTGATGATGGTGTTACTGGGGTGGGTGGGGGTACAATCCTGTGTGTAGAGGGTATAGAGCAAGGGGCTCAACACACAGCCTTGTGGAGAACCGGTATTAAGGGTAAGGGCTGTGGACATATAGGACCTTACTCTAACCCTCTGGGGGCGGGCTGTCAAAAAGTTCAAAATCCAGAAACATATGGAGCTAGAGAGTCCAAGGCCCTCCAATTTGGACACTAATCTATATGGGAGAATGGTATTAAAGGCAGAACTAAAATCCACAAACAACAGCCTCACATAACTCCCCGGCTGCTCCAGATGTGACAGAGCAGTGTGCAGAGTAGTGGTGATGGCATCCTCTGTGGATCTGTTTGCCTTATATGCAAACTGGTGACTATCCAGTGTAGATGGAAGACATGAGACGATGTGACTGCATACCAATTTCTCATCAAAGAGGACATAGAATTTAAAAAGCGAGAATTTAAAAACTCCCCCCACATCTGCTATGTATTGCCACTGGTCCGTAAGTGGTTACTTAAAAATGGAATGTGTGCTGTTGATCCCCCCTGCCATCAAAACCATGAGACAGAGCTCAAAATGGAAAGGTAAATAAGGGAGGTGACTGAATTGGCAAATATTGTAAATCTGGGCGACTTCAGCTACTCTCACATTGTCTGGGCAAATGTGTCCTTGAGTCATGATGTAGGAACAAAGTTTCTAGATATCATAAATTACTGCATGTTGGAACAGTTGGTCACAGAGCCAACTAGAGTGCTGGATTTGGTTTTGAGTGGGACTCAAGAAGACCTGGTACAACATGTAGTTGGGAATAGTGACAACAGTGCTATTAAGTTCAGCATTTATGTCCATGGAAAGTTGCCCCAAAGAACAAAACAATTACCTTTTGTTTTAAAGTAGAGAACTTTATAAAAATGAGGGGACCAGTTAGAATGAAGTTCAAAGGCAGAATTAATAGTCAAATCTAGCCAGGATGATTGGAAACTATTTAAAAACACACTAATTGAGGCCCAAGTATAATACACACTTCAAGTTAGGAAAGATACTGTGAAGTTCTAAAAGGATGCCTGTATAGCCCAAGTCAAAGAAGCCATAAAAGGCAAAAAGGCTTCATTCAAAAAGTAGAAAGTTTTCCAGAAGAGATGAACAGAAAGGAACATGGGTTCTGTCTAGAGATGTAAAATTTCCGGAAATGTTGAAGCTCGGGAAAAAACCCGGGTTTTCCCCAGTTTTTTCCGGAAAAAAACAGAATTTTTTGGGAAAATGGAAAAAATGCTACATTAGCATTTCTTTTGTCTTTTCTAGATTGAAAGTCATTCAGTTACTTTAGGAACATAAAATATGACTATGGACATTTTTACTTGGCATGAAATTACCACAACTAGCATATTAAAAATATAGTTTATCCAAACAATTATTACAAACAGGATACCCACCCACATGCAAAAACAAAACTGAAACCTTTTTATTTTCTTCTGACAATAGCACCTCCCAAAAGAAGAAATGCATCTTGTTCTTGCATTGGAGAGTTCAGTTTCTAACCTAGGACTAGCTTGTCCTCAGTGCACAGAAATTAGATCAATCTGATACCGTATATATATATATATATATAAGAAATGATTCGGAAAATATTTGAACACCTTGTCTTAAAATATTTTATTCATCATGTTAACATAAAACGTTCCATAATCAATTTCTTTTCTTTTCTTTTTTCAATTTTTCCAATTTTTCAGAAAAAACAAAAAAAGGCTTCAGGGAAAGAAACCGGTTTTTTCCTGAATTTTTCTGTTTTTTTTCCGGGCCTTCCCATCTCTAGTTCTGGCAAACCAAATGTAAGTTGACAATAAGGCAAGTGAAAAGAGAATTTGAGGAGAGGATTCTAAAAACATCCAGACAAACAATAGGCATCCCCCCCCCAAAAAAAAAACCCCAACAAATTGAGAGCAGAAAACTGGGCAGGAAGGCTGTTGGGCCTTCAGAGGGCCAAGGAATCAATGCATTACTTAGTGAAGATGGAGATATAGCAGAGAAACATTGAATTCTTTGTATCTGTTTTCCCTGTGGACAATATGGGGCATGTATCCATGCTGGAGCCACTTTTTTTTTTGAGATGTCTGAAGAACTGAGTGAAAGTAATATAACGAGAGATGAGATTCTAGGACTACTAGGCAAATTAATGTCTCCAGGTGGCATACACTGAATGGTTGTTAAAGAACTCAGATGTGAAATTATTGAACTACTAATCAGTATATGCAACTTGTCACAACATGTTTACTCTTTCTGACCAATCTGCTTCCTTTTCTCCCTGCCTGTCTCTCTCTTTCTGTTTTCTCTCAGGTATCTAAGTAGAACCTCTTAGCACAAACGAGAAGAGGACTGGGCAGAGAGGGGAACACATTACACTAACTAATCTGCTGTCTTCCACAGCCATTCCTGGATTTTGAGCATTTGGATCCCTAGTGTTTCAAGACACAAATACTCAGTTCTCTGTGGATGAAAAATATGTTGCAGCCTTTGTTGCATTCCCTTGTCCTAGCTGGTACATTAGAAGAAAGTGTAATATAATAGTTTGGGCAAGTATTGCACACTCGTCCTTTAATCACAAAATTGTCATCCTCTCTTTTGGGAAAAAGACCTTAGCAGAAGTTTGCAGAATAGTAGGTTGTAGACATCTAGCACATCCTAAAGTTAAATTGTTAGATCATGTAAGGACTGCATCTCCTGAATTCGTTATCCAATAATATCAGAATAAGTACAAGTGGCAAAAGTGATTATAGGAAGTGACTGGTGCTACTTTTAAAATCCCTCAGGAAATTGATTAACAAGGTTTAGAGAATTTCAAGATTCAGTTACTATTTAAACTGAGAGATGGTAGACAACAATTCTCCCAACATTTGTAAAATGTCAGAATCCTTTAGTTAACAGTTGTGGAATAGTGGGAAAGATATATCTCTCCTTATATATAATTCTGTTTTGGGGTGACTCTTCCCTGAACGTTCCACACGCTCCCAAATCAATTGAGTCCCTGATCTGTCACAGGAGGTGTGCCAATCTCCAGGCTGCATTGCCTCGCTGCGTTGCCTCAGTCCTGCCCACAGAGCTGGTGGCCAGCGTCTCAGGGTCAGTCTTATTTAATGGTATGCCAAAGCCAATCAGAGAGCTAGAAGGTAACAGCTTCCTCCTTGATTAAGTAAATTGTGGAAAGAAAGGCAATTTGTAATGCTATACAATATTTCTAGCCTGTGTTGAGCTGTTATATAGGGTAAAAAGAACTAGAGTAAATTCATGGGTTTGTATACGTTTGTATACCTACATGAAGCACGGATACTTAAAAACATAGTAGAACAAAGGTATTTCCACGCTGGAATCTTTTTTATTGACACTATTTCCTCATTTATTTCTCCATATTATATTCTTTCCAAACATCCCCAGTTCAGACTTTGCTGGCTGCCCCTTTTTCTTGTTCTGTTTTGAATTTGCTTTTGCTATCATGATGAGGTATGTGAAATAACAGTTTGGCTTACAGACTTTAATAAGAAAGCCATACGCGGTATGCTTAACAGAAAAAACACAATTGGCAAAGTAATCAGCACTCTGGCAACACTCTGGATTGAGGCATTAGGTAAAAGAAGGAGTGAAAAGGCCAATGTAGGTGAAACTTTGGAATTTGGACACGGCTTCAAATTCCTGCTCAGTCCGTGAATCTTGTTGGGTGGCTTTGTCAACTGTCTGTGAGCCTAACTTATTTCACAGGGTTGTTGTAAGAGAACAGTGAGGTAACAGCATGTATCTTCCATGCAACATGGTGGAAGGCAATCTTCCAATACAGGTCTCAAATGTAATATTCCTTGTTTCTGACATCTTGGCTAAAATTCTAGGCAACCTGTACATAAATGTCTTAATCATCACCTGTTTCTCTGCTGTTGAGGTAACCAGGGCTCTAGTCGGGGGGGAGCTCTCAGGTACGGAGCTCCGGAAGAGAACCTCTAGGGGGCGGGGCGGTCACGTGGTGAAGCCCCGCCCCCTTCTTTACCCCGCCCTCTGCTTCGATCCTCATTCCGTTTGGGAATGAGGATGAAGCAGGAGGGTAAGTAGCCGGGCCTTCTGACACACTTCCGGTGATGTCAGGGGGTGTGGCCTTCTGTCACTTCCGGTGATGTCAGGGGGCGTGGCATATGCAAATAAGTTATGCTAATGAGTTATGCTAATGAGCTCCGGCAGCTCTTTTTCTACAACAAGACCCCTGGAGGTAACTAACAAAAGGGAGCTCATTTATAGCTGGCTGCTTCAAGAAAGTTTCTGTTTGGAAACCAGAATATATTCCAGGTCTGCTGTTCTCCTCTGGCAACTAATCTGAGTGTGTGCTGCAGAAGGATGATTGGGAGGGGGGGTAGGATGCTTTGCAATGCTTTCTTCATATGATGAATTAAGACAAACACATGAAAAGCACTGAGCTTCTCACAGGAGCAAGGAAAAATGAAATTTGCTCACGTCCTTGGGAGTTGCTAGTACATGTATCCCTCCAGTTTATCCTCTCATCCTCCAATATGGTCATGTGAGCTTTGAGAGAAGGAAATCGGGACCTCAGAGACAAGAGAGGATTCTTGGAGAACAGGCCTTCTAGTCACTCTGTTAAGAATATCCAGGAACAGTTTGGTGATAGAAATTCAGCTGTTATGAGGGAGAATATACTTTGCTGGTAGTTCTAAAACTAACTTCTACCCTCCTGTGTCTTTTACAGTCTCTGTCTGCTGCTGTCTCTTCATACTGTTTCTCTTCTTGTCTGAGCTTACTGGATTCATAGCGACTGAAATGTAAGTAAAAAACAGTGCTGTCAACAGTTTTCCTTAAAAAAAAAGTGACTGTTTAATCAAATTATTCTTTCACAGCTCTGATATTTTTAATCCAGAACCTCAGTTCATGATCCAAAAGGGAGTGGATTTCTTTTGATGACAAGTTTCTAGGTATTCATCTGTGTCTAATATATATCTGTGGAGAGTGTTACTTGTGATTGTTCATAGGAAGAGCAAAAGGAATGGGGAGCATTTTGCTCACTCCTATGGAAAGAGGGGGCAGACATAGAACTGAACTTCAACACAGATCCAACCATTTTTTTGCTATTTGTATTTTACTCGAGTATGGAGAACAACTGATGTTTTCCATTCCTGTTTTGAGCCACTCTACTTGTATTACCCAAGCAAAATGGATTTCATAACTCTGCACAGTGTAGCAAGAGTCTTTGTTCTCTCCCTGTCAATGAGATACGGGTAATAAAATCTGTAACATATGCCAGCCAGGAATTGAGAAGTCAGCCTGGTTGGATGGGTATACAGTCCTTTAAGAGAGAAGGTAGATAGGCTAGGGATGCTATTAGGCCTGTACTGGCAAATGGAGTACTTCGTACTTTTGCCCAACTTTATAACTTTTTTGGCCTCTCTTTGAATGGCAGACCTAGCCCTATTACATATAACGCATTTTCTGTCCACTTTCAATGCTCTCTGCAACTGGCTTTTACTGTGTGAAATGGCAAAATCCACTTGCAAGCAATTGTTAAAGTGCAGTTGAAGTGCACTAATCAGCATGTGTGAAAGTACCCAGGACATGGTTGTCCATGTTTTTGCCACAATCAGCTAACTGTAATGAGCTCTACTTAGGCATACTTGTGAAGACTGTTCGAAAGCTTCAGTTAGTACAAAACACTGTGGCAGGATTGCTGGTGGACACTAGTGACTGGGAAATACCTCTCCAGTTTAAAAAGAATGCTTGTCCATTCAATTGCAGACAGAATTCAAAGTGCCATCCTTTTAAACCCTTAATGGTCAGTGACGAGGGCATTCAAAAGACCACTTGCTCCCATATGAACCTGTCTGTCAATTGAGACAACCCTTTTTTGTGTGCCTTCACTTTCAGAGGCAAAGTGACTAGCTACCAGAGGTAGAGGGTCCACAAATATGGAACTCGTTCCCCACTCATATTCCTCTGGTGGCTAAATTTTTTTGAGTTTCAGTTATCAGGTTAAAACTTTCTTATTCACCATTTCTTTTGATTGATATAGCACAGCATCAGTGTACCTGAGTTAACTTGACAATACATTTAAACCTACTAACACCAAACTCAAGATTTTCACTGAAGTCAGCAGCAGGCCATATCAGACTGCATTTATTTAGTTAAAATGTTTACATTGTGCCCAGGGGTCGTTTCATAGAAAAAGAGCTAGGGGAACTCATTAGCATATGCCACACCCCCTGACATCAGGGGCCCGGCGGTGGTCCTGCAAGGTCGGCGAGAGTGCGAGGAAGCCTCTCCAAGGCCCTCCCTGGCCCCAGGCAGGCAGAGATGGGGAGAGGCGGGGAGGAAGCAACTTACCCTCCCTCTTCTCCTGCCTCCTCCTGGCTGAATGAGGGCTGGAAGCGGGGCGGCTGGAATCAGGGGGCAGGGCTTCGTTGTGTGCCCCGCCCCCCGCACCTCACCCAGGGGAACTGTGATCCCCCGCGATCCCCTCGAATCGACCTCTGATTGTGCCTTATATCCTTAGACTCAAGGTGTCTAACAAAGCAACAACAAATTGCAAGGAAACAGAAACAACATTATATTCTCAGCATGATACAAAACAGTGTACAGGTTTAAAACACAGCCCAATACAGCAAGTTTACCCTCCATCAAATGCCCTGTATACATGCCTTCCTCGATGCAGCAAGTGAAGGTGCCCCACTGGACCTACCACACTGAAAATACATGATTGCATGGTTGCCCTATGGACAATACTCAGACCCTTTTCAAACTGCCTTTGTATTCTGTTATAGATTCTTCTGTCATTTCAGACAGACCCATTTTAATAACTGGCTACTAGCGGAATTTATTTATCTGTTCATACAAACCCACTTGCACCAGGTTAGCAAAATGTGGTTTAGCTGCTTTTGAGGGAAACGGCTTTTTTCCATTTTCAACCCTTTCATTGTACTTCTGAATTGCTGTGGTGTGCTGTTTAAAATGTCCATAGCACTTCCTATAATGCTGCTTTCCCCCCTGCCCTTTTTGTCACATGATCTTCCTCGGGCTTTTTTGTATGTTCTAAGGTGAACGCTATAGCGCTAAACCACTATAGCGCTGAAGTGCTATAGTGGCACCATTGAGATGCATTGACTCCATTGAGTACAGCACTTCAGTGATATAATGGTTTCACGCTGTAGCGCTCACCTTAGAGTGTTAAAAAATTCTGAGGAAGATCTGGTGGCAAAAAAAAGGCAGTGGCAGGGGGGGAAGTGGCACTGTTTGAAATTACCGTAGCACTTCAGAGATGGCTCATTAATGGAAGGAAATTCGCCGTATGAAACTGCCGTCCCTGTATAGCTTTACTCGAAATTGGGCCAACAATGAATAATACCTGGTTTAGAATAGTAATGTGAAAAGGGCCTAAAAGAGTGTGCTACTAGGAGCAGGTGTCTAAAGAGCAATGCTAGTATGTGGGAGTTGGCAATAATCACCTTTGTATTCTGTTATGGCAGGCTAATATTAAATGCAGCTCCATTTATGGCAGACTATATTGTGTCTATAGATTTGACAAGGAGTGAGAATTGGAAATGTGTTAGATTCTCTACCAGTTGCATTTTCTAAAGTCATAAAAATAATTGCCAGGGTTATATAGGTACAAATGACAATTGATAGTCTGAATTAGCTTAACAAACAAAGAGGCTGTTTTTATGTTAGCACTAGCTAAAGTGAGGAGTTGTGGTGGCTCAAGTGGTTAAGACGCTGAACTGCAGGCTGTGGAAGGTCGGTAGTTCAGCAGTTCGAGACCCGAGTGTGCCGCATGATGGAGTGAGCTCCCGTCTCTAGTTCCAGCTCCTGCCAACCTAGCAGTTCGAAAGCAAGAAATTGCGAGTAGATAAATAGGTACCACTTCAGTGGGAAGGTAACAGCGTTCCGTGCACCTTGGTGTTTAGTCATGCCGGCCACATGACCACGGAAATGTCTTCAGACAGCGCTGGCTCTTCGGCTTTGAAATGGAGATGAGCACCGCAACCCTAGAGTCGGATTCGACTGGCTTTCGAGCAAGGGAACCTTTACCTTTTAGCTAAAGTGAGGCGGCTTTATGGATCCTCTGTGTGTGTGTGTGTTATTTAGCTTAATTCGTTTTGTTATGTGATGTATTTGTGATCTTTGTTTATTATAACAATTACAAAATTTGTGTTATTATTCTTCAGTCATCTCTCTGATTTTATGTGTAAATAGCCTGTAAACTAATTATGTCTGAAACAAACAAATCTAACAAAATTGGTCTTAAAAGATGGCAGCTTTCATGTCACAATAAGTTGTTGAAAGTGCTCCTGCACTCTGGATATGTAATCTTAGTTCCAAACTAGATGTGACAGTGTCCTCATGGCTGCCACGAGGATGTTGCTGCCATTTTAAAGTCACTTAAAAATGCTGTGAGGGCCTAGTCCTGATCAAGTCTGCAGCAAGGCAAGCTGAGGTGCACTTATCCCTCCCCATGGCTGTTTCAGCACTTCAAAAGTCATGTGGGGAGTGGGGACAAGAGCATCCTGTTGTGGGCCCAGTTAGGATTAGGACATCTCTGAATTCTTTAATCAGTTTAAAATGGTTTTCTTGTCATTTCTCTGTGCTTTCTCCAAACACCTTTGACTTGATTTGAGAAAGCACAGAGAAACAATGAAGAAACCTCAGAAGGACAACCAGTGAAAAACAAGGATGTGAGAAAGCCTGGAGAAAAACCACTGCAGATTGGTAACCAAACTTGTGGGAAAACTTCCGTTTGAAAAGACGTGGCATCTCGTCTGTGGTGGTGCCTCTCATCACTATACCTCGCCTCCCATTCATAAAGTCTGCCAGACATTGTTACTATTTTTTCAGTTTTGTATGAATTCTGTTTTAATTGGCTTCTCTGCATGTAGTCCCCACCTGCTGTTTAGTGATGGTACCGACCAGGGGTCTTTTTGTAGAAAAAGAGCTGCCGGAGCTCATTAGTATAACTCATTAGCATATGTCACACCCCCTGACATCACCAGCCATAAGGCCACACCCCCTGACATCACCGGAAGTGTGTAATAAGGCCACACCCCCTGACATCACCGGAACCTCTTGATGACTGTTTTTTGTTTCTTGTCCTTGGCCCTTTCGGTCTGTTGGTTATGGCCCAGCCCCCCCTCTTCCTGTCACATGACTCTGATAACACATCCCGGGATGCTCCTTTGTGAGCGACTGGCATTAAAGCTATGAGTGAGCAATTTGGCTACTGCATAAATTAGTTTGCTCTGGAGGCATCTTTCCTGAATTAAGACAAAAATGTATGAGCCGGAGGCTAAAAAACTGTTAGCTACCTTGCACTTAGAGGAAACACTGGACAAAACCCAGGTGCCTTCAGGAGGTCCACCAGCAGGGCCAAAACTCCAGGAGCCCACCCACTCTTGCCCCCCAAGAGCCAAGAATGCAGAGCATCACTGCGCCAGACATAAGAACATAAGAGAAGCCATGTTGGATCCGGCCAGTGGTCCATCCAGTCCAACACTCTGTGTCACACATCAGCCAAAAATACCACAGGCCATCAGGAGGTCCAGCAGTGGGGCCAGGACACCAGAAGCCCTCCCACTGCCCCCCCAAGCACCAAGAATACAAGCCCTCCCACTGTCCATATGACTAGGGAAAAACAGTAATGTGATAAATACAATAAAACTGGAACTATCTCCACCTAAAGTAGGGACATCATCACATGGTTTACATCCACAGCCTTTTCCAAGGCAGCAAGGAAAATGGAATATAGGCCTAGTGGCTGCAATGCTTGTCCCGATCTATGTGA